AGGCCAGTCCCCATGAGGGGGTCAGTATGATTCCCCCTTCACCTGTCAGCAGCCGCCCTTTTCCTGAGGCCTGGAATGGGGCAAGTGTCCCACCCTGTTGGGCCTCAGCCCTCATGAGGACAAATCCCTCTGCCCTGTCACACGGTAGACTTTTCTTCTTATTTAGCAAGTTCGTTTCCCCCACGTGTGTAACCCAGGCGAGCACCAGCAGCATTGTTTAGATTAAAGAACAGTAGAGAAAGAGAAATAAGTTCTCAGAAAGTCATTATAACTGACAGCCATAATAGGAGCAGGGAAAAATGTTACGTAGTTGGTGGTGAGGGTGTGAAAAAGAAAAGGTTGGCTTTTACTTTCTATCTCCAAGCGCAGCAGAGAGAAGAGCAGAGAAGCAGACTACTCCTCTTCGGGCACGGGGACTCCTGGGGGGTGCGAGGTATCCAAACTCTATGCAGACCGAGGAGGGGACAGGAGGAAGACATCAGTCTTCTGTGACATCAAAGGAAAAGACCAGACTGAGCAGAGCTGGAAGTGAACAGAGACAGACACTTGGAGGCTAATGCACGACCGTGGGTTGTTTTGGGGGTAGAGATGCCATGGGGCTTTGAGACCAGGGTACGTATCTGTCCAGTTAGTTTCAGTGGAGGTGACAGAAAGTAGATAGGAGTCATGACTTTTAGGCATCTGGCTCCCAGGGGCCTGAAAGTGGGGCCTGTGCTTCACGGAGTGGAGAACCAGTCATCTGAGAACTCGGGTGATTTTTAGGTGGTTTGGGGCGCATCTCATTCTCTGCTACCTCAGTGGTACTCACTCCAGGTACCCCAGATGTCACATCTGTCAGGCTCCTGCAGCCTTGCTTGTAGGAAGAGAAATGTGGCCTCTTTGGGGCGCCTGGGTGGCTCAGTTGTTAAGTGTCTGCCTTCAGCTCAGGTCATGTTCCCAGGGTCCTGGGATTGAGCCCCGCATCCGACTCCCTGCTCTGTGGGGATCCTGCTTCTCCCTTTCCCATTCCCCCTGCTTGTATCCCCTCTCTTGCAGTCTCTGTCAAATAAATAAAATCTTTAAAAAAAGAGAAAAAAAAAAAAGAAATGTGGACTCTTTGGTATCTTTGAGCTCTGAAACACCCTTCTGCTAAAACCCTTTTGGATAAGCTTATTCCCCATTTGAGACTTTCTGATCAGGGTTAAAAGGAAGCCTCCGGTAGGTAGGCATAAAGACCATGGGCTCAGACAGCCCCAGACCTGGGCCAGGGAGCCCCCAACTGACCGCAGGGGAAACCGCAGGCCCCCCCGGCAGGATGTGACCAGCACACTGGGGCGGATCATTGCTTTTGAGGAACGGCTCTTCTAATCCACAAAAGTGTGTAAGTGCCACCACAACTTCCACTTCTATTAATTTGTGTCTTCAGGATGTTTTTGCTGGTTTTGCGCAAAACGACTTAGCACCTTGACGTCTTGTGACTGTCGCCATAGCATTAAGGGAAAAACAGGTTCGGGTTCTGCAGTCAAAACAACATCTGGAGCACACGCCGCAGACGATGTCTCCGCGGGGAACTGTCTGCAGGGGCCCCGCCCGTCCTTCTGCGCACAGGAGCTGCGGGCAGCGATGGGAGCATTTCCACCTCCTTTCAAGAGCCTCCTCCTCAAAGAGGCAACATAATGGGCGATGAATAGGGTGCCCCCCACCCCCAGAGACCAGATGCCACATGGCAGCGTCTGCGGAAGCAAAAGCATTGGTTACTGTTGGGCTCTTGTTTGCAATTCTTGTCCGGGCTGCCCGTGGAATTCCCTTGCTCTGCCTCCACTTGGTCTGTGGAGGTAAAGCAGATTTTACCAGAAGACTGAGGAGGTGTTTGTAACAGTCTCAGAGGGTATCGCTTGCTTTGTTTACGTAAAGAGATGAACCCGTGTGGACTTCCTTTCCTAAAATGTTGCCCCCCTCCACGGGCAAATGCTGGGCAGTGAAAAGCTCACTCACAAATAATACTTGGAAAGCTTTTTTGTTAAAAACCTAAATAACATCCTGTGTCAAAACAAACGTGACAATGGGCTATTATTTCTAGCCCCATAATAGCATGTTGTCACATCTCTGTGCCCTGCGCCAGTGGGGGAGGGGCGGAGATGCGGGGACCAGGGGGAGGGGCGGGGGAGGCGGCGCGCTGCTGCACCGAGAGGCGCTTCCTGGTTGCTGGAGATTTATTGCTCCTCTGGGAGGTAACTCAGAAGTTCATTTCTGCAGGTGCCCGGCCACAGCCCCGAGTTCACTTCCAGAGGAGAGCTCTGCGGCTGCCTGAGAACACCAGCTACAGCGACCTCACGGCCTTCCTCACGGCCGCCAGCTCCCCGTCCGAGGTGGACAGTTTTCCTTATTTGCGAGGACTGGATGGAAATGGAACAGGTAATTGGAGTCTGTTCTCTTCTCAGCGGGGGTTTCTGTGTCTGAATTTTTGCATGTGGCTCGAGGCGTTAGGACTAACTGGAAGAACCAGAGTTGTGAAGTTGGAGCGCGTTGGAAACGGTGTTAAGGGTTCCTGTGTACACCACGGCGGAAATACATGTGAATACGTTGCTCTCCTTCAGCCATCCTGCCTCACGTCCCTTCGGAGCTCCCCTTTGGTAGACTAAATGTAATTCAGAGAAGTGCTTTTAATTGAAGTTGGGGTTTTCCCCCCCAAAATATAAGGCTCTCTGCCCCTTGTCCCACTTGTCCCTGGAGTGGGTGCCCCTACAGGGATACCCAGCCCCTCCCACCCAGGGGTCACAGCGGGGAGGAGAAGAGGGGCAGTGGCTCTGATACAGAGAGGCAGGACAATGGGCCTTGTCATATCTAGGAATCAGGAGCATTTAGGAGCAGGAGCCTCAGCTCTCTACCGTGTGCTCATCGAGCATTTTCCCACATCTTCCCATTCTCTGCACTGTTCTCTCCACCTTGATTTGGCAAACAGCGGTCAGGCTTTGATGTTGATTTGAATCCAGGCCTCTAAGTCAGCTCGGTCTGTGTCACCCTAGAATGGCCTGACACAGAGCTAAAAAATCAGAGAAACTAAAAACCAGCAGCCAGAAAGTATGTAATAATTCCTTACCGGCAAAAAAGACTGGCTCTCAGCCAACGGTGCCCTTGGCACTCGCTGGGTCCCTACTCATCGGGATTGGAAAGTGGAGGATGCGGAGGTCCTGAGTCATTTCTTGTCTCCCTTCTTCTTTTCTTGACACTTTGGACTACTCACAACATAAACGTGAAAACTGGAGTCTGTTCTGGGCGAAATCCCACTAGGTGAGGAGGTGACTGCATTTTCCCAGAAACGCTTTTATTGAATTTCCCTGATTTGTCCGGTGCTTTCCATAAATGGATCTTGGGTCCTTCTGAAAAAGCTTGTACACCTGCAGCATCTGATCCATTTTGTAGAATGCTCGTGAATTTCTGGTGACTGATCAAAGTGACCTGGTAATTGGTAACTCCCTTTTCGCCTGTTGCTGGCACCTGCTTTCAGAAATGGTTCTTCCCAGTTTTATGCATGATGAAAATGCAATTAAGATCAGTAATTGGCCATCAGATAAAACTGCATGGCAGTCACTTTAAGTAAACATTATTGGAGGAAATGTTGGCTTTTACTTTAAGTGTATGGCTCGAGAAGAAAAGTCGTATTTCAGGGAACACGAAAAAGTACAATTTGAGACCATCATACAACCTCCTGCCAGTGTCCCCAACAAATGGTGCACAATCACAAAACCCTAACTTGGAGGGATGGCCTCATTCCTCAGAGCTCATTAATTTTTCTGTGCCCCACTTCCAAGAGCTCTTGAATAAATTATGAAACCCGAGATGATGAGGAAGGGAGAAGAACACAAAGACATAGAACTATTGATTTTAGTGGGGTTTGCTTTATTTTAAAATCACTCTGTTATTTCAGAGGAAAGAAGGAAGGTCTTCAGAAGGTTGCATGCAACTTCTTCTGATGTGGAAAGAGGAATCAGAAACTCCTTGAGCGCTGCCAGAAAGGCAGCCACCCCTGGGCATGTTGGTTCACACCTGTGAGGGCAATAGGAGCGGGGGCTTTGCTTAGCACCCCGACAGCTCGTCAGCTAGGTGCCTGTCTCTGGTTTTGTGATGCAGAGCCTCTCTTCCCCGCAAACCCCACACTTGCTCGTGGCTGGGCCAGAAGCGCGGCCTGGCCGGGCCCACACATACCTATGAAATGGTGGGTCGTAACTGGAGTCTGGGAATGGTAAATGGAGGCCGCGAATGGGACTGGAAAGGGCTCTGAAGGCTGGTTTCCTCAGAGTATTCTTGGTTGTGTCCAGTCAGTGGGAGTTTCCAGAGTTGTAAATAGAACAACTCAGCCAGATGGAGGTTTGGCCCACTTTCTCATTCGTTCCCCTGCGTCCACCTGCTCCACAGTATCCTGGTGTCACACGGGGCAACCTCATCCCCCACACGGGTCAGAGATGCTACACTTTCCCGGCATCACACTCCCCACTTTGGTTGCTAAGAAGGCACACCACTGCCCTCTGACATTCCCAAGGGTTTTCAAGGAATGACTCCTGCTAGTAACTCCAGGAAGACAGAGAGGAGTCGGTAAAACGACTAACAACCGGCAAAGCTGGTAACAGAAGTCAAAGCCAGAGAGAACCCTAGATACTCTCTGAACCGAACCCCTCATATTACAAGGGATGGGTCGGAGGCCTCCTAAGCTTGGTCCAGTGGTGCTGCCCCTCACCCTGCTGGCTTTGCCTGACTACTATCTTTATTCGGTCATGACAGGAGCCTGGTAACATCAGGAGGGAACAAAAAGGAAAGACCTTATTATATACAGACCTCAGTGCTTTGTCGCAGTCTTAGAATAAGGCCTGGAAGGGAAACAATTGAGCCCTTCCAGAATAAAGAGAGTGGGAGGGTAAAGAGAGAGTGTTTGGTAAGGCATAGAGTAGGAGTGGACATTTAGCAGGGCACTGAGAAAGAGAAAAGAAGCCTCAAGAAATCGGGTATCACTGCCTACGGTGTCTTCTAATGGAGAGCTTTTAAAAGAGCCTTAAATCACATGAACCTAATGTATATTGCTTTAACTAAGATGCCCTTTTCTGCAATGCTGTACTTACTTCTGAATGTTTATAGCTGAGTCTGTTTTCTTTCCATAGGCTCATAGGAAAGCATCTAGTCCAGATGATGCAGATAAGAAAAACAAATCCCTAAGGAGCAAAGTAACTTGCCTGAGGCCACGTGTGCAGCTAGAGGGGGGCATCGGGTACTGGAAACCCGGCTTCCTGGATGAGGAGTGTGCAAAAGAAAAAAGGAAGGGAGAATTCCTGAGTGGGCATGAGGAGGCGGAACTAAGTGGGAGGCAAGGATGGGTGATGAGTCTGGAAGGTTTTTCTAACCTACCTGCTGCTTCCCTCTGCGGACCTCCTGCCTCGGGTTTGCTGGCGGCAGCAGCACTCCCCAGTTGAGAATGTATGTCCAAATTGTTTATACCAAGTCTAGTGAGTTCCTGAATTTCCCTTGGTTTTCAGTTCTGTCTCATCCAGAGAGTCTAACAGAACCTAGAGAGGTACATGGTAGACCTGGCTTTTTACTCCTGTGTCTTCTTGGGGCAGTTGGTACGTTTAGGTCTCCATCCAGAAGATGCTTTGACCAGAAATCTGGTAAATCCTGGGTTTGGATTTTCTTTACCCTAAAGTGAAATGGCCAGACTGCAAGATTTTAGAACTTGAACCTGATTCCAGGATAGACCTTTTAATAAAATTCCCATCATCATGCCTTTTCCTTCAAGGACAGAGATGGGCATAAATTGTGAAATGTAGCACTGTCATGACCCGTATATACACTGCTCTATGAAAGGTTTAGCTATAACTGGTGTTGAACCCTAAAATTCACTTAGATTCACTTTAAGTGTTTATATCTAGTCCTAAGTTAAGGTTTGCATTAGCTCAGGGAGTTGATGGGTTGGTAAGTATCTAAGTACCTTAATAAGAAATCCTATAGATTATGTTCTGATGGAGCTTACATTTTTTTTATCACCATGCTTTTGTCATTGTGCTCAAGATTTAAAATTATAACAGAAAACATTTTGTGTGATATTATATTTCACTGGAGAAAAATTATCCTGAAATGGATTACTTAAGTATATAAATATAATATCACTGTCATAAGCATTCCCTGATTTATCTATAAAGTAGGCAGTCATTAAAGCATCGGCTCGGGTAAAAGGCCTCTAATGTAGAATAATTGGGGTATTAAATTCCTTTTAAACAGATCAAAATAACAATGGCAACTAAAATAACTCATAAATATTTCAAGTCCAAGTTTTCAGTAGTTTACTTTTAGTAGAAGCATTCCTTGGGGAAAAAAAAAAGAACCCCCCCCCCTTTTTTTAAGCAGTATCTAATGTAAAACATTTGGTTTCACAATGGGGCTCTGCCAAATAGTTAACACGTGCATGGAGCTGACTTTGTCTAGGAATTGATGTCAGGGATTTCTGCACATCCCGTCCTCTCACTTTATAGATGAGTCTTTTCCTTTTGAGGCCCCTTTTTGAAAGCAAAGCACTGCAGTGTATTTGGAGTGGGCAAACCTGAGCTTGGATCCCAGACAGACCCCCACGCCCCTGGGGCCAGCTCCTATGACGACTGCCCTCCCGTCAGCCTGTTGCTTTTACATATAAAATGTGGATTTTGCCTGCCTTACAAAGGCGCGGTGAGGATTTTAGAAATGCCAAGTGTTTACTACAGTCCCTGGCGTGTAGGAGGCACCGTACTTTGTGAATGGTGGGTGCAGACGGTGGCCTGAGCCCTACGTAGGTCCCTTCTGCACGTGTGATGGAGAATCCCTCTTGCTTGCAGGAAATGGCACCAGGTACGACCTGACCCCAGTCACAGCCGTCAGCGTCCACTTGCTCAGCGGCGATGGAACGCCAGTGCTGGTGGATGGCCCCATTTATGTCACCGTGCCCCTGGCCACGCATAGCAGTCTGAGGCACAATGCCTACGTGGCGGCGTGGCGGTTTGACCAGAAGCTGGGTAAGCGAGACTCCGTGATTGGCTAGCAGGTGACTTCATGACTGATGGATTTTCTTTTAAGAAGCCTGTTCAAGTCTCCTTTCCTTGCAGGTACTGAATGCACTGTGCGGTTTCTGGCCGGTGAAACTCACGCCACTGGGCCATGCAGGTGCACTCTCTGGAGGGTTCTCTTGCTTTTGTTTTTGTGCTACATGTAAGCTAACTTACTTGAGTCTTTAAAGGTTATTAGAGCTAAAATCAGCTCCGTTAATCTTTAACCTTTTATCCTGTGAAAGTTCTATCATCTCTCTCGGTCATGTGGTTTTTAAGTTAATGAAAAAGGAAAAACATTGCCAACAATGTCCCAAAAGAGAAACTAAAGTGAGCCATAATCCCCCTACCTAGAGGAAAACCACTCATCGAATTTTGCATTACATCCTCCCGGTTGTTCCACCGTGCACGTACGTGACAGGTTTCTGTTGCTGGATGACAGATTGCCTCAAGACTCAGCAGCTTCGAACAACACTGAGCATCTCTTAGCTCACGTTTCTGGAGGGTCAGGGGTCCAGTCACAGCCTAGCTGGGAGGGTGGTTTCTGGGTCAGGGCTGCTAGCAAGCTTGCAGCTGGGCCGCCAGCCAGGGCTAGGTTCATCTCGGGGTCCGGCTGGGGCTGGTGACGCGCTTGCAGTCCCGCAGGGCTGTTGCAGACCTTGGCTCCTCACCAGCCTTGGTTTGTCGGTTGGAAGCTTCCGTTCCTTGCCCTGGGGGTCCCTCCATGGGGCTGCTCACACCGTGGCAGCTTGCATTCACCGGAGCAAATGACCCAAGGGAAAAAAAGTAAAATAAAACACAGAAGGACAAGTGGACAAAATGGAAGTCACCCCAGTCTTTTACAGCCTAATGTCAAAGGGGCACACCGTCACTTCTTTCCCAATGCTGTTGGTCACATGTTGGTCAGCATTTCCCAATGCTGTTGGCCCAACGTGGGTACAGGGTGGGCTGGACCGTACATGTGTGTGAACGCCAGCAGGTGGGGATCCCTGGGACCCTATTAGACTGCCTTCCACAGAATATATTTTTAACAGGAATGGGATTACATGCTGTACACTGTTCTGTAACTTGCCTTTAAAAATCACTAGCATATCATAAACATCTTTACATAGTATCCGCTGTGAGTCCGCAACCTCAGAATTAATGATTGCGTAGTATTTCATTATGTCAGTGTGTCGTAACTTGGTGGCCCTGTGCCCTAGAACTAGAGAAAACATTACTGTTCTTACAGGGCTGGGATAAATATCTTTGTAACTAAATCTTTAGGCGTGGCCATGATTATTTCCTTAGGATAAAATTTTAGAGGAAGTGATGCTGTTGGATTAAAAATGTATGAAATTCTAAAGCTTTTAATACATCTTTCCAGACTGTTCTGTAGGAAGTTTTATAGTTGATGCTCATCACAGCAATATGGGCTCACATGTCTGTGTGCTTGGATTTCCATACCGTCTTCATTCTTACACCCCTTGGGTATTCCATCCCTTGAAAGTCAAGCTTGAAAATACCAGTTTTCAGATGCCCTCGTCCAGGATCTTAAAGCATTAGACTTTGCATAAAGATTATTGGGAGATGTTTGATGTCCAGTGTATTTTCAAAGATACCTAATTCCATGAGTAGTCAAATCATAGTTCTGGGAATTTATATTTGAAAAGAAAATGCCTGTTGGGTGTCTGGGGTTTGGTGGGGTTTGGTTTTGTTTTGTTTGTTTTATTTTGTTTTGCATCCAAATAATTACTAACAAGAGCCATAAGTGTGTGGTATTCACTGATTTTACTAAAGACATACTAAACTTGACGTTGATGGATGGACGGTGCCATTGTATTAACATACACTGCACTGAGATAGGCTACCACCGACATGTGTACTCCATGACTTAGTCGGGACATAAGGAGCCCAGCACCTCCCAGAAGCCAACAAATTGAGAGGGGCCTGACTAGGAGAATCTCACAAGCACACAGGAGAAAGTAGGAAGGAGAAGGGAGACATCTGGCATTTTGTATCCTGAAAACCTAGGTCTGCTCTTGTAAAGCTGTAAGTCCCACCTTGGGCAAATCCCCATGCCTGTTTTCTCATTCATATAAGACGTGTGTTCATCGAGGCTCTTATTTCTTTGTATATTCTGCTTTTCTCCCTTCGACCTCCCAGTTGGCCGCAAACGTGCCCAGGCCAGTGCTCTGGAGCAGCAGCATAGCATGTGGTTAAGAGCAAGTGGTCTGGGGGCACACTGGATTAGAACTCCGACTCTGTTACCCACTGGCTGTGTGGCCCTGAGCAAGTTACTTAACCTCTCTGTGCCGGTTTCCTCAACTGTGAAATGATGATGATAATAACAATACCTAATGTTGTTAAAGTGAGTGTACTACACAAAGTTCTCCAAAGAAATAACCAATAGTGTGTGTGTGTGTGTGTGTGTGTGTGTATGGTGGGTAGGTGGGGAAGTAAAGGAGGAAACAGATTTATTTTAAGGAATTGGCTTATACATTTGTGGAAGCTGGCAAATCCATAATCTGTGGGGTCAACGGGCAGACTGGAGACCCAGAGAGGAGCCAGTGCTGCAGTTTGAGCCCAAAGGTAGTCTGCTGGCAGAATTCTCTCTTTCTTGGGGGAGGTCAGTCTTTTTCTTAATGCCTTCAACTGACTAGATGAGGCCCACCCACATTATGACGAGTAATCTGCTTTACTTAGCCTACTGATTTAATATTGTTAATCTCATTTTAAAAATCCCTTCACAGCAACATTGATATGTGCTTGACCAAATATCTAGGGACCATGGCCTCGCCAAGTTGACACAAAAAATTAACCACTCCAAGGAGAAAATGAATTAATGGCTGTAAGAGGCTTAGTAGAGCACCTAGCACAGAGCAAGGACATTGTAAGAGTTTATAAAGTAAACAGAAGTCTCCCTATCCTGTAGAAAGCTCTCACAGACTGTGCCCTCTAAACCTCTTAACCCAGATCTCTTGAAGGATTGTTCTCCATGTGCTGCTTCCATTTCTCAGCCCATCTTGATCCTGTTCCTGCTACCAACTCTTGGGAAACAGGGTCACCAAGCAGCTGCACGACTCTGAAGGCAGGTGACCTCCTCATCCACTTTGATGTCTCTGCAGCGTTTGAAGGGCTTCCTTCCTTATGAAGGGCCCTCCTCTGTTGACTCTCTGACTCAGTTTCCCCCTGGGTCCTCCTCGTCTGCTGGCTGCTAGCCTCTGCCCTCTGCCCAACTACTACTTTACCTTATATCACTTTCTGGGTCATCTCACCTCTTCCCTCATTCCCATGGCTCCCCATGCACCCAGGTCCTGGTTTCTGTTCTGTGTTTCTGACCTTCCAGTAGACATCCATTTATGAATGTGCCACGGGAAAGTCAAGTCCAAGATGCCCAAAATTAAGGCTTATTAGTGAACTCTCACTCCAGCATCTAAACCTCTTCATGTTCCCTCTCTTGGTTAAGGATATCGCCTACCAGACCATCAGAGTAGAAACCAGAGAGTTGTCCCCACTTTATTCCTGCAGCCACATCTGGTCCTGTGTTGCTGTCAGATCAGCATTTCTCAAGCTTTCCCTCTCTCCATCCTCTCCATGTTACTTCTGCCTCGGTTCAGACTCTTACCCCGTTTTCTGCCCAATTCCTGTAGCTGTTGGAGCGCCTTCCATCTCTCTTCCCTCCACTAGGTCTTCTGTATCGCTATGTAGGTTATTTTTCCAAAGCACAGACCACTTTCCCACGTGAGATTGTCCCCAAGCTACTCAAAGTGAACCAGTCCATGCTTCTCGGGCACACAGATGCCTTCAGAGCCAGCCCCTGCCTATCACTCTGCCTCATTTCAAGCCACTGTCTTCTGCACACCTGCATTGCTACAGCACCAAACTGTGTGCTCTTCCCCTCACCCAGCTGCGTTACGGGGTCCCCATAGCTTGCCACATTATGTGGGCGGGATCTCTCTTTTCAAATCCCTTTCTCCAACCCCTCAACAGCCATGTAGCCCTTCTCACTTAAATTGTATGTATTACAGTGATACTAGAAATACATATGGGCAGGGCCTTGCATTTTCTTAGTTATCAGGGCAGTTGAATGTATTATGAAATAACATTTGTACTTAAGAGGACTGTCTACAGAGAAGACAATCATATACATATGAACAGAGAGATGCATGTACTGTGCTCATGGCAGTCCTTGTGAAGCCGACAGGAGGAGTCAGAACCGGAGGAGATGGCGACAGGGTGTTGGAAGCAGAAACTCGAGTGATGTCCTTTGACTATGGAGGAAGAGGTCACAGGCCAAGGAACACAGGCAGCAATGAGAATATTGAAAAAGGCAATGCAACAGATTTTCCCCTGGGAGCCTCCTTCCTCCAGAAGGATCCAAGCTTATGGACACCTTGACTTGGGCTCAGGGGAACTGACTTCAGACCTTTCAGTTCCAGAACTACAAGAGAATACAGTTGGGTTATGGTTTTTTTAAAGATTTTATTTATTTATTTGACAGGCAGATCACAAGCAGGCAGAGAGGCGGCAGAGAGAGAGAGGAGGAAGCAGGCTCCCTGCTGAGCAGAGAGCCCGATGCGGGGCTCGATCCCAGGACTCTGAGATCATGACCTGAGCTGAAGACAGGCTTTAACCCACTTTAACCCCCAGGCGCCCCTAGTTGGGTTGTTTTAAGCCCTTAAGCGCATGGTCATTTATTACAGAAGCCATGGGAAAGTAACACAATACAGAAGTGCATGAAAACAAATGTACATTTTTAGGAAGTCTCTGAAATATAAGTTACCTGATTCTCTGCCTTTTCTCTGGAAATAATCCCCACTGCATCAAGCCTTTTGCTGTCGGGAAAGTTCATTGTATACGTGGTTTATTTTCACTTAAATGGTCTTTTTAAGCTAGCATCTACTGCGAGAAATTTAACTGCGAACTCCCGGCTATAACAGCTTGTATGGTGCCCCAGAGAAGTCAACATTTGCATAGGCATTAAGAAATAATCAAATGAATTAAAATATGCTTTCAGAAAACTTTAAGAGTGATGGACATTTCGATGAAACCGTATGTTCTTTAACCTCCTAAACTCAGTAGAAGTCTACATATTTCATAAGTTGGGGTTTTTGTTTTGTTTTCTGGTTTTTTTTTTATTATTAAGGTTCTTATTTTGTTATACTTAATCAGTAATACCATTATTCAAGTAAAAATTGAGTTATCTTAGTTAAAGAAAAAGTTCCAAGACAGTATTATCAGATCAGGAAAAAAGTAGGAACCCATCTTAGGCATAAAATACTACTTACTAATTAGTAGCTGTTTATGGTTAATTCACACACAATAATCACTTCAAACCATTTTAATACTTTAAATTATGTGCTTTTAAGGTAAATCAAAATATTGTAGTTCCAAACTGTTTAACAGCCAGATACAGTAATCTGTGACTCCATTAAGAATTATTCACCTTGGGGCGCCTGGGTGGCTCAGTGGGTTAGGCCGCTGCCTTCGGCTCAGGTCGTGATCTCAGGGTCCTGGGATCGAGTCCCACGTCGGGCTCTCTGCTCAGCGGGGAGCCTGCTTCCCTCTCCATCTCTCTCTGCCTGCCTCTCCATCTACTTGTGATCTCTCTCTGTCGAATGGATGGATAAAATCTTTAAAAAAAAAAAAAAAAAAGAATTGTTCACCTAAATCAAGGTCGGCAAACTACAGCAAAGCTAAGAATGGTGTTTGCATTTTTAAATGACTGAAGAAACAATCAAAAGAGGAGGAGTATCTCATGGCATGTGAAAGTTATATGAAATTCAAAAGTGAGCATCCCTAAGTAAAATTGTATTGGACATTTTGGACTGACTGACTGTATCCTCCTTCCCCAAAGTTCCTCAGTTGAAACTGTAACCCCCATGCGTTTGGAGGTGTGGCATTTGGGAGTAATAAAGGTGGGGCCCTCAGGAATGAGATTAGTGCCCTTGTGAAAGAGACCCCAGGGAGCTCTGTCACCCCACCTACCATGTAGGACGCAGCAAGATGCCATCTGTGAACTAGGAAGTGGGATTTCATGAGACACTGATTCTGATGGCGCCTTGATCTTGGGCTTCCCAGCCTCCAGAACCATGAGCAATTAATATGTGTAATTCGTCAGCCACCAAATACATTATTTTTTTTAAAGATTTCATTTATTTATTTGACGGACAGAGATCACAAATAGGCAGAGAGGCAGGCGGGGGGCGGGGGGGGAGCAGGTTCCCCACTGAGCAGAGAGCACGATGCAGGGCTCGATCCCAGGACCCTAGGATCCTGACCTGAGCCGAAGGCAGAGGCTTTAACCCACTGAGCCACCCGGGTGCCCCACATTATTTTTTTTTTTATAGCAACCTAAAGGGACTAAGATGCTGGAACACAACCATACCCATTTGTGGATGGTCTGCATGAGTGCTGTCTCATTACGCCCATGGAGCTGAGTGGATGAGACAGAGACTGGATGTCCCCACAAACTGAAAATACGTACTGACTTCATACAGAAAAATGTGATCCTTGATCTAAAAGGCCTGCAACAGGGAAGCTCTTACCGTTCTAGTATTAGAATGTAGATTCTAGGGGCGCCTGGGTGGCTCAGTTGGTTCAGCATCTGTCTTCGGCTCAGGTCATGATCTCAAGGTCCTGGGATCGAGACCTACATCAGGCTCCCTGCTGCCTCTGCCTGCTGTTCCCCCTGCTTGTGCGCGCTCTCTCTGACAAATAAATAAAATCTTTAAAAAAAAAAAAAATTGTAGATTCTAGCTCATGGTCTGCAGGCCCGAAGTGGAGGTGCCTGGTACGGCCACAGTCCATACTTCCTGCCATCCGGTAGCCCTCCAGCATTGTGCCAGGAGTGAGGATTGATGCTCAGAGTGATAATAGCTTTGTTATAGGGTAAGACTTCAAACTCTCTAAAGAAAGATGAAATCGCTTTTACTCCCATGGGACTTTTATTTGAAAAATAAATCCACATGTTAACACTAACTTGAATACCACAGTCCGTGACTGCCAGATAACCAAAGTGTACTCATAAGAGAGGGACCTAGAAGGACTCCCTTTCAGACACCGTTAGAGTGGACTCCGTATTTGATGCCGCCATTTATCGCTCTTGTCTTCTGCTTTCTTTTAGTGGCTACAGTTGTCTTTTTTCTTTCTTTTGGAACAAGCGAGAAATTTTCCATTATACAAATTAGCATCTCCACCCTTCAACCCACATGTTCGTCGGAGGATGACCTAATAGATCAGCACTCTGAGAACACAAGTAACGTTGGATTTTGTTTAGTATGTTACAGCAGTTTGAATTGGCTCATTGTTACGTGCCCTTTCCAAAAAAAAAAAGCTTTTTTTTAAGAAGTGCAGCTTGCATATACTAGAGTTCAGACCTTTGCTGTATTTACATGCAGCACTGAAGCCTTGATGCTGCAAGGGGGGGACTTGGTGTAGTGAGCACAAGTCTTTCTTTTGAGTAGTTAGCAGATTTCTTGAGCTTACGATCTTCTAATGGTGCTCTTTTGCAAAGTAGAACAATGCCAATGTCTGTGTCATGGGTGGGAAAGGGGGAGGGTGTCGTGGACATGCACACGTCCTCATCAGTCACGTGTGGGGGTGCAGTGTGTCCTTTGGAGGAAGTGGTTTTCCTGTCCGGGTCTGGCACATGAAGTTTCACTGGTCCTGCTGAGTGCATCATAGCTGAGGCTTTCTGGGCGGTCCAGGAGCATTCTGTCCGCTTGCTTTTACAGGCATTTGCTCTCTCGTCTAGAACTGGGACAGCAGATGGCTGTCCGATGTTCCCGGTTGTCAGACTGTGATCTGACTTGATGCCCTGAGGAAGGGTCACTTCTGAGCATGCAAACCAGGTCAGTGGTTCGGATTGAAAGTGACTGAGTGACATTGGCCAAGAAATCAACCTTTCGGTTTCTGGATGTGATGAGTTTCTGCCATTTAATGATCAGTTGGGTTACTGCATTTGAATACTCTCATACTAACAAGATGACAGAAATAAAAGCATCTTCTAAGTGGAGCTACATTGTAGAATCCAGTTTTAACTGCCTTCCCAAAACACAGCCTGCAGAGTGTGTGTGGGTTGCTATAGAAATGGCAGTTAGTGAACCACCTCTTAGCATGCCTGTATGGTGCATATGTAGCAGGCAGTCAGGATCCCCTCTCAGAGCTGGCCTGGAGGGGCTTGGTCTCCGCTTCAGACGGTGAACGTGACTGCCGATCCCAGGCTCTCTGAATTAGTCCATTTAGGTAAGTTAGACAGCCTGCCCTCCGAGGTGGAGCTTGATTTAAAACATAGATCTGGATGTTTTTTCCATTTCATTGTATTTTTTGGTGGGGGGAGGTAGGGATGGGAGTTCTTATAGCACCAAATTATGTTTGGAACTGGCAAAAAAATGAACCTAATATCACTGCCTTATCTTCTTCTCTATCCTGAGCCCCACGTCAGGAGGAAAGGTGACCTACCGAATACTGAGATGTAGAGCCTGAATTACAAGGATAAACTATATTATACGGGCTGGGCAAAAGTTAGAACAAAAGGAGTTCATGTTTCTAGCAATTAAGTGCATATTTACTCGCGTGATATTAATTTTAGAACCATACATGCCATCGTTTATTTTTTCAAAAAGAACAGACTCTGGGGACACCTGGGTGGCTCAGTCAGTTAAGTTTCTGCCTTCGTCTCAGGTCATGATCCCAGGGTCCTGGGATCGAGTCCCACATCAGGCTCCTTGTTCAGCAGGGAGCCTGCTTCTCCCTCTGCCTGCCGCGCCCCCACTTGTGTGCTATTTCTCTGACAAATAAATAAATAAAATTAAATTAAAAAGGACAGACTCCGTAGGAAAGAGTACCACAAAGAAGGAAGCAGACTTACCTAATCTTAAGTGTGATGTCAGTAGATCCTTAAGAAAGATGGTAAGAACTGGGCGCCTGGGTGGCTCAGTGGGTTGGGCTACTGCCTTCGGCTCGGGTCGTGATCTCAGGGTCCTGGGATCGAGTCCCACATCGGGCTCTCTGCTCAGCGGGGAGCCTGCTTCCCTTTCTCTCTCTCTCTCTGTCTGCCTGCCTCTCCATCTACTTGTGATCTCTCTCTGTCAAATAAATAAATAAAATCTTTAAAAAAAAAAAAAAAGAAAGAAAGATGGTAAGAAGTAAGTCTTCTCCCAGAGAAGGCTGTTTCTTAGAAACAAATAAATAACTCTCAGGAAAGGAGTCTCCACTTCCCCAGATGTTAACTGCCATTGCTTGTTCACTTTTGCCTGCAAAAGTGAATTCCGGCTTCTGTTGGATATGTCAGAGAAACCAAGGTAATTTACCTGCAAAGAAAGCCAAATGAAATGATGGAAAGGACAGAAAGGAACACTGGAGGGAGAGACAGGATGTCATTTAGGTACATGGTGGCAATTCGGCGGAACTCTCGCT